TTTTCCTGTCGAAGGGTGTGCATCTCAGCTCCGTAGCTCGCCTTCAGGTCGACTTAAATAGAGGAAACCAGCGTCGTCTTTCAAAAACTGGGAGCTGGTGGTAAACCGTCAACCAGGCTACCAAAGGGACCTCGTAGTGCCCTTGGACGCGTAAGAATGCTCTAAGTAAAAGTAGAAGGCTCTCTGGAGCACCAGCTTGGAAACTTGAAAAGCCATTGTAACAGAAACGAAGTCGGTTCCGCCAAGTGTTTTGATTGTAGTGCTGCAGCTACGGACCTACAAATTTTTCACCGGCGAGTGCGGCATTCCCAGCTGCAGGTGCGAAAATATTCGATTCTAAGAACATATTGTGAAATCTCAAGCAACATGCAAAAGACCGATCCCAGGTCATCGCATTGTTCTTTTCGCCTGGGTTGGCCAGCTCGGCGCCCGCGGTAAACCGCCAGGGTACCGCCGGGAACATTGTGGAGCTCATTGCGCGCGTGAGAGTGCTCTGAACGCAGATGGAAAGCTTTCTGGAGCATGAGCTTAAAAACTCGAAGCATATTTGTAGTTTGAACGCGAACTCAATTCCGCCAAGTGTGTTGGTAGTAATGTAACAGCTACAGATCTGGAGAAGCACGATCAAACGCGAAATAACCTACTCGAGGCGCATGGCATCTTGTTTATGAAAACGAATGGTCAAATCTCCGTTAATCTCCAGATAACCTGCAATTTCTTCGGACTATATTATTCATGAGGTCGGTCCCCGGAAGTGAATCGATATAAATACTGCAGCTGCAGCCATGAGATTTATATTACCGAGCGCAGCGTCATGCAATGCTTAGTAGAAGAATCTTGTATTCGAGAATGAATTGTAAATTCCGTCTCTCAAAAAATTAGCAGAGTACGAACGGATTTTCGGTCGCAGCCCTGGTGGCAGACCGATCTTAGGCGTCTCGATACTGCAGACTAGCGCTCCCATCGATTTTCCTGTCGAATGGTGTGCATTTCAGCAACGTAGCTCGCCTACAGCTCGAGTTAAGTAGAGAAAGCCCACATCTTCTTGCAAAAAGTTGCAGAATGCCAGTCGTTTTTCGGTCGCAGCTCTGGTAGCAGATTGATTTTAGGCGTATCGATACTGCAGACTGGAGCTCTGGATCATTTCCTGTCGGGTTGTGTGCATTTCAGCTCCGTAGCTGGCCTGCAGCTCGAGTTAAGTAGGGAAAACAACATCACCTGCCAAAATGAGCCTCGACCTCCACCCGCCTGGGTGCTTTTTATAATACTATCCGTCCGACCGACCTGAGATTGAGATGGCGGGCGGGAATAAGATCTTACTTGTTAGGTAAGAAATAGCAGCTCTCTAATACATTCAATTTCGAGAACATATGGTTTAACAGACCGAACGTGAGCAACACTTCCGTCGAGATTCTTCGAGCCAGCTAGCCCGGGCGTTGTGTAATAACTCTTCAGTTTCCGCCGCTTCGCTCATGGGGAAGCTCTACGGGCCAACATCCAATAACCTTTAGTTTTAGACTTTCTAGAATTCTAAAATAGATTTCAACTCCCCCAGGCGTTCCATTCGATTCATTCATCATTCATTTGCGGGAGAGCCAGTTCAATGCCCAGTCGTTCGCAGTTTCGTCTGCCAACCTTCTCAACATTAAGAATAAGTGACATGATCAAATGCTGTTCGCACTTAGTGTTTCCGCGAAAGCAAGATGAACTTACGCTCATCAAGCCTCTAGAAAAATGATTTCGATGCCGTTGAAATATGCAACCTGTAGGTGCTCCGAATCTCAAACCGAGCGCGTGCCTTAACACATGTGAGAATGCGCGTAGTTTTTTCGAGCATCGTTCGAGACGCCAACCAATCTCAGGCGTTTGGATGAAGGAACAAGTTCTGCTGCCTGAAACCATCCGGTGCTCGAAATGTCGAGATCAAGTCAAAGAACTGAACATTTGCTCCACGGAGTTGTAGAGTGCTAGTTGTTCGACCATAGCTCGAGAACCATCCGATCTCAAGCGTCCTGACCCTCTGCGCTAAGGCTACCGATGCAAATCCTGTGTAGGTGCTGCAAATGTCGAGATGAAGTCAAACAACCGCGTGCGTGCCCAGACACCTCGCAGAGTACGAGTAGGTTTTCGGCTCGAGACGCAAACAGTTCCCAGGCGTTTGGACCTTATAGACGGAAACGTACGATGCTCCTGTTCGAAATGTCGAAATCAAGTTCAAGAACTGAAGATTTGCTCCAAATTGGTAGAGTGCAGCTAGTTCTTCGGCTGTAGCTCGAGTAGCAGACCGATCTCAGGCGCCCCCATTCTCCAGGCTACGGCCACGAAGTTGAAGCTATCGGTGCACATCGAACTGGGCGCCGGCGGTAAGGCGTCAACCAAGTTACCGCCGGGGACCTTGTAGAGCTCCGTGCGCGCGTAAGAATGCAATGGGTGCAGGAAGCTTCCTTGGGCATAAGCTGTAAAATTGGAAAAAGGCATTTTTTGATGTGAGCGCGAAATCGGGTCCACCAAGTGTTTCGATAGTAGTACTGCAGCATTAGATTTGAGATTTTTCCAGCGAGCGCGACACAACTTACTACAGAAACAAAAAAGGCAGGTTCAACACGAATGGTTCAATCTCTCACAATCTCCAGAAAACCTGCATTTTCTTGAAAATATGTTCTTCTTGAGGTCGTCCATGGAAGTTAATCGGTAGAAAGATTGCAGCTGCAGCCCTGGAGCTTTCGCCAGCGAGCGCAGCTTGATCCGGAGCAGAAATGTTGTATTGTAAAACGAATTGTCAAAACTCTCTATGGGCGCCTGAGCGCCGGCGGTAAACCGTCAACCAGGCTGCCGCTGGGGACCTCCTCCAATGCGCGAGAATGCTCTAAATGCAGACAGAAAGTTTCCCGGGGCATCAGCTTGAAAACTCGGCAGATTCATTTTTGGGTCTGAACACATAGACGCTTCCCCGAGTGTTTTGATCGTAGTATGCAGCTACGGACTTGGGAATTTACCGGAGACGGCGGCATAACCTACTACAGGTGCACAAATCTTGCTTCTAACAACGCATTGTCAAATCGTCCGTTCTGGTCGGGTGGGCCAACTAGCTCCACCCTGAACCCCAATTCCTCTTAGCTTATCGAGTCGAAGAGCTCTACGTGGTACAATGTTCGGAAAACCGTTCACCACGCTGGGCGCGGGCGGTAAACCGTCAACCAAAGTTGCCACAGTGAAACTCAGAGCTTCTGTTCGAGCGGAGACGCCTTTACAAGGATTTCATAATCGATGGCAAAGATATTAAGTTCAATCATGACTGCTGAGTTGCTCGAACCTCGCGTAAAACCGCGCGTCTGCAACTATTCTAGATCCTGCATAGTTTATTGCGCAAAGATCGGATGCGCGACCGAACTCCGCGCTCTCGAGTCTCTGGGCAGATGCTTCCCATTCAACTTCAGTTTCTGAGAGCTCTGTAGCTGCTCTGAATATTGCGATCCAATCGGAAAACAACACCTGCGTCCCCAAAAATTGCAGAGTGCGAGTAGTTGTTCGGTCATAGCTCGAGTGGCAGACCGAGATCAGGCTTGTTTATCCTCTAGAAGAATGCTTCCGATGCTCCTGCAGCTATTGGTGCACATCAACCCGCCGTGTCTGCTCTAAATTTCGAGATTCAGTCGACCAGCTCAACGTGCACCTAAAAAGTTGCAGATTGCAAATCGTGTTCCGGTCATAGCTCGAGTAGCATACCGATTTCATGCTTCTCGGTCCTCGACTGACGCGTTCGATGCTGTTGCATCTATCGGTGCACATGAACCCGCTGTAGCCGCTCGAAATCTGGAGATCAAGTCGAAAATCTCAACATGCACACCACAAAGTGCAGAGTGCGAGTCATTTTTCGGTGATGGCCCGAGTAGCAGACCGATCTCAGGCTTCCCGATCCTCTACAATGATGTTCCCGATGCTGATGCAGCTATCAATGCACATCAAACCTCTGTAGCCTCTCTAAACTTCGAAATTCAATCCATAAGCTGAGCGGACAGGCGAAATGTAGTCTGAGGGCGAGTATCCACCTTGCCAGGTTTCCTCTTCAAACTGCTCCTCTCGACCTGTGATCAAGATGGCAAGCAGGAGTAAGATCGAAGTTGTCCGGAAGAATAATTCCATCGAGAGTGAATTGTCAAACATCTTCCAATCTATTTTTCAACTAGGTAGAAGTTCGGAGCCGGTGGTAAGCCGTCAACCTGGTTACCGCCAGAGACCTCGTAGAGCTCCTTGCACGCGTAAGAATGCTCTAAATTCAGAAATAATGCTTCCTGGAGCATCAGCTCGAAAACTCCAAAGAAGCATGTGCTTGGTCTTAACGCAAAGTCGGTTCCGCCAAGTGTTTTGATAGTAGTCCTGCAGCTACAGACCCGAAAATTTGACTGGCAGACGCGGCATAACCTACCACAGGTGCGAGAAAACTTCTCTAAACGACTTGTCAAATCTCACACAATGTTCGAATCTGGGCGCCGGCGGTAAACGGTCAACCAAAGCTACCGCCAGGGAGTTCCTAGAGCTTTTGTCGGAGCAGGACGCCTGTACAAATGATCGCACAATCGATTGCAATCATATTAGGTTTCAATCGTAGCCTGAGCTGCTCAAATCTCGTAAACCCGCGCGTCAGCAACTGTTCTAGGGTATGAATAGTTCATTGGACACTGATCAGAGTCCGTAGACGCATGTACTGAATCAACTTCATTGGTTGAGAGCTCTGTAGTTCCGAATCGCGCGATCAGCATGCGCCGAAAAAGTTCAGAGTGCGAATAGGTTTTGTGTCGAAGCTCGAGTAGCAGGCTTCCCGATCCTCTGGACGGATCCGCGCCTCGTGCGCGGTGGGCTGGAGGCCGTCCGGGGCTCCATGGAAACGCCAGGGTTGGTTGGGGCCACGGCCACCTCTTGCAGACGCCCGAACTTTACCCGTCGACGCTGGCCGCCTTCGGATCATCGACCCTCTTCCTGCTCGACCCCATTCCCGCCAGAGGCCCTCGGTGCCCCCCCCGCCCGAAGGGCCGCGGCCCGCCATGATCATAGCACTGTCCGCCGCCCTGAGGCCGCGGGCGTGCGCCGCCTGCGCTGCATCGCCGCCGGCAGGGACAGGAGAGGGACCGAGAGAGGGGGAGAGAGGAAGGGAGAGGGAGAGAAGGGATAGAGGGATAGAGAGAGGGATAGAGAGAGAGAGAGATAGAGAGAGAGGGATAGAGAGAGGGACAGGGAGAGGGACAGAGAGAGAGGGACAGAGAGAGAGGGACAGAGAGGGACAGGGAGAGAGGAAGGGAGAGGGAGAGGAGGGGGTCGGCATGACTCGGGCGAGGGCGCGCAGGGTATGGGAGGCACGACCTGTCGGGGCCGCTGCGACGCGGCCGCGACCTCCTCGTGAGCGGCGAGCAGGTCCATGCCCATGCCCTCGCCGTCTGGACTCCGAGGCCCGATCCAACGGGTGCGCCATTCCTGGGAGGCGTTTCGCGCGGGGCCTCCGCGCAGCGCCATCTGGTATTCGCAGGGCCGCGGGCGAGGACTCTGGACCGCGACGCCCGCGAGCTTCGAGGTAAAGGTTTTGGGCTCCTCCACGTGGCGGACCCCCCCCTCTTGTGTCGGGGTTCCCCAAACGGGGTGGTGACCGCACCGTTTCGGGACTCCCAATTGTGGCCACGGCTGGGCGCGGCCCCATCGCTCATCGAGCTGGTGTCCAGGAGGTGGTCGAGAGATCCATAGTGGACGAGCATTGCCTGGGGCAGGTGTGCCGCTTCGAGGCGGCCTTGACGGCTGCGCGGGTCCTCATGGGGGCCGTGATCCCTGCCCGCAGAAAACAACCGATTTCGCGAACTCAGTACGGAAGGTAGCGTCGAGGGCTCCGTTCAAGGCTGACTGGTTCGCGGGGTGGTGGAAAACGCGGTCCTAGTTGTCAAGGTGGGTTCCTTGGAGCGAAGAGGGGAAGTCGAGAGATCGGAGGTGACGAGGGCTTAGAAACCCCCTGTACTTGTGATCTGTGAGACCGTACCTGTTCCGTAGTTGTGACAGCTGTGATTACCTTGTTGCACTTTATCCCGCTTGCGACACCTCATAGCTAAGGGGTGGTCAGGGGCGGTTTTTTTTTTCTTTTTTTATCCCGCTTGCGACACCTCATAGCTAAGGGGTGGTCAGGGGCGGGCTTCAAAGGGATGGACGAGGATGGATATCAGAGGTGGGTTGTCATGGGGAGGAAACTGATGGGGGGGCGGGGATAGGAAGGTGCCAGGGGAGGGGTTGCTCACACCGCCTCGGTCACCAGATCTGCGCCGTCAGTCCCTAATTGCACACCCTTCCTCCCGTTCATTCATGTCGCGCTGCGCGCAGCGCCATCGCCTCATACTGAGAGTAGTCATGTCGAGCGAAGCACCCTCGTTCGGACGCCGCTGTGCGCTCGAACGCGCCCTGAGATGTGTTGTTTCTTGGAAGGCCTCGGGGTTCGGGGGAGGCGTCGAGGCCTCCATCGCGTCGCGGAGGTCTTCGGTGTGTTTTGAGGAGCCACTGCATGGGGCACACCTGCAAGTCTTGGAGGCCACAGAGGGGCTTCGGACCCTTGGGATGCCCCCCGACAGGGTCGCCTTTTCTCAGGATGATGTGTTGGGCTTCGGGTCTCTGAGGCAAGGGGTCACCTGTATCGCGTACTTGCAGCAGATCGGCGCTCCGAATCTGGAGTCACGCAGCGCCGGTAACTACTATGATCGGCAGCTCCCGCGCGGCGCCACATCGGAAGGGGTGCGCCACTTCATATGCGTACCTTGCTGGGCTGCCAGCTTTGCTGTGCGTCCTGAGGGTGTTTTCGTTCATGACGTCCCGGGGGAGTGGAAGGATGAAGCAGCGGGGAAAGCAGGGGAGCGAGGGGTGGAGGGGTTTGGAGGGATGGAGGGAGGAGGTGCGCGGAGGAGGACGGGGAGGCGGAGGAGTGGGTGATAGGGGGGAGGGGGGGGGGGCGCCCGCTCCCTAGCCGCAGAGGTGGTCTGTTCAGGGCGTCCAGTGGCCGCCCTCGGCCACTTCCCGTGATTATCCCAGGCCTCGGTCCCTCGGCTCGCCAGGCCACGGCGGCAGCGATCTCGCCTCGAGCACTCCTGCATGGCGCGCGTGGGGGGCGCCGGCCGCACGCCGGATGCGGCGCCCTCATATCCGTCCGTGCGCTGCGTTCCCGGTGTCTGTTGAGGCCTCCAATCTGAAGAACAACTGTGCTCGATCCCCTGTCGCTGGTGCACGTTGGCTCTTTCAGCTGACCTGCCCACCCCCTCTCCCAGCGCTTGCGCGCCCCAGCTCTTCCGACGGGCTTGTCTTTGGAGTCCCGGCTCCATGCAGAGAGGCCTGGTCCCCTCGGGCTCTCCCTTCTGGTTGCGTCGAACTATTGCAATAGCTTCCTCTGCTATTGCAATGGCTTCCTCTGCTAACGCAGTAGCTTCTTGTGGCTATTGCAATAGCTTCCAGCACTCGTCAAACTTAGACGTCGAGTAGTGCAGAGTAGACTAGATGAGAACATACTTGAGTAAATTCGACCATGGTAGAGTACTTAGAGTCGAGTGGAGGAGAGCATAGTATAATAGCGTAGAGAGTAGGAGTAGAGGTGAGTAGGCTAGGAGTAGAGTATAGTAGAGTAGTGCAGAGCAGAGTAGAGTGAGAGAGTATGAGTAGAGTAGAGTAGTCCGTAGCCATTTTGGTTTAATTTGAGCCCAGATTTATTCTTCACTTCCTGCCTGTTGAACCCACGCCCGCGCCCTCGCCCTGTTCGCCGGTACCATGGCTTCGGCTTCAGATAATTCTGGCGTTATGGACGTGCTCAAGGAGATGCAGGCTCACATGCTCACAGCCGGGGCGCTCGAGCAGGCCAACCGCAAGCTCTGTGCGGACCTGGAGGTCTCCATCGCTAACACCGTGAACGCGGCCATCGACACCCATGTCAAGCCCTTGGTTGACAGGCAGGTCAAGCTCGAGGCCAAATTCGACGATCTCATGAAACGCATGGAGCGGGTGGAGAACAAACACAACGAGGCCACCAAGAAGGACCACGAGACTCATGCGAAACAGGCCTGTTCTGCCGACCGTGACGGAGCTGGCTCCCTTGGAACGCAGTCACAGCGTCCTCAACGACGTCACCTCCCCGACCATGCCTCTCTGAACCCGGTTTCTGACCGCACGCCGAGGCTCACAGGCTTTCGGAAGCACTGGACGCCCGAGGCCATGTCTGACTTTGTGAAGCCCCTTCTCGGCCACACGCCCTTCGAGCGGATCTCTTCGGCCCGCCCCCGAGATGGCGAAGCACGTGTCGTTTTCAGAACACGAACCAAAAGGGACGCTTTCTGCACCGCGGCCGTTGCCGCCGCCAACCCGTACTTCACCGACTCGACAACGAATGAGGCCACGAAACTCTTCTGGTACCTTCCCGAGACCAATCAGGACCGCCACAAGGCCTACATCGTCCGTCGCCTTCGTGACTCCCTTCCTAATGCTTACCCTGCCTTCAGGTTCGAGTGCAACTAGAGGTCGGGCAAGATCTATGCCAACAAGCGGCCCCTTCTCACGGTACACATCGACGTGGACACCTCCGAGGCTAAGCTCTTCTACGTCACCAAGTCCATGAAGGAGCTTTCCGTGAGCGAGGCCACTGTTAATGGTCTGATCCGTCGGGTGGACGCCGAGTGAAAAGCAGGGGCGGTTTCGCCGCCGCTACCCTTGTGCACTACACCTTTGGTCCTGGAGTCCCCCAGGCACTCCCTCCACAGGCGCCCGGCTTGTTGGGCATGCAGTCGCCGCCGTCTGTGCCGTACTCCGGCCCGGCCAGTTTCATCAGTTGGAACGCCAGCGCCCTCTTTTGCCTCGACGTGGTCCGCGTGCACCGCAAGCTGGACTACCTCTGCCGCCTGGCCTCCGCCGCCGACGTCGTCATGATCCAAGAGGCCCACGTCAACTTGGAGAAGGCCGCCATCCTGGACGCCCGCTTGCACGGGTCGCACGATTGCTTTTGGGACAATTCCGATGAGGGCTCCACCTTTGGGGGCGTGGGCTTCGTCGTCAGAAAGTCCTTCCTGCTGCTCTTCGACGCCTATCACTACTGGGGTGTGGTTCCGGCGAGGGCGGCGATGCTCTCTCTCTGTGGTCCGCAAGGCGGGCTCGAAGTCCTCAGCGTTCACGTCGATCCGATGCTCAGCTCTGACGGTGTGCGGCAGGTATTGTCCCTTGCTTCCTCTGCTCTTGCTGTTGGTCCCCGCTCTCATGCTGTGCTTTGCGGCGACTTCAATTTTGACAGCGACGTGCGTGATCGGCTCAACTGCTTGGACGGGCAGATCGGTGGACGCCCCGGCGCCCAGCAGGCCTCCTTCGAGGAGCTTTTCCCGACCTTCGCGGAGTTCGGCAGCGAGGACTTCACCCGCGGGAACAGCAGGCGCGACGCGGTCTCATCGTTTAGCCGCCTCGACCAGGCCTACTCCCCGCTCCACCCGACGCTCGGCATGGACATGACTTTTACCGCCTCGGTCTCCCAGGCGATCTCGTCCCCCAACTTCGACCTGTTGGACCACGTGCCCATTGTGCTCTCCTTCCGTGACCGTCGACCCCAGGCAACGGCCGATTCCCTCGTGGATCACCCGTCGTCCGACCTGGCCGATCGAGGTGGACAAGGCCCTGAGCTCCTTCGCCGGCAGCCCGTCCCTGGATCCCAACTTCCGGATGCGCTCGATCAAGATCGCCATGCTGCTCGCCGCTCACGAGGTCAAAGAGGTTGCAGCCTGCCACCGTGCTCGCACGTCCGACGAGGCGCTCTGGCGGCTAGTCCGTGCACTCCGTGCCATCCGCGTCGGCAACCCCGAGGTCCTGGACAAGTGCTTCAAGGTCGTCGACTCCCTCCCCACCTTCCTGGGCACCGAGCCTGCTGACCTACCCCTTGTTGGGCCGCTTTGCCCAGCTGTCGCGTTGGATTGCCGAGGGGTGCCTACAGGATGTTGCAGCTGCCCGTGACCTGCCGGAGCGCGCCCATCGTCAACAGACTGCCCGCTGCGCTCGGCTTGTTCGCACTTGGGCCCCTATTCGTCGAAT